TCCTGCTGCTGCCTGGAAGAAGCATCAGTGGAGTCAGGCATGCAAAGCAGGCCTCTAGCTGTTTCAGCAGCAGCAGCACTGAGATGATGAGAGTGGTGACAGTGGTAAATGCAATGAACTAGTCTGGGTTAGGGCAACCATTCTCTCTTGTGTGATGAAGGTCCTTTTCCCTTCATGGTGTACGCTCTCCTGAGCACTCTGGGGTACAGGTTGCTGGTTGCTTCATTTAGGTGAAGAGGGTCCGATAAGAGTCTGAGGTGCCCTCATCAGAGCCACATTTTGGGGGACAGCTGCTCAGTCACATGACAATGAATGTGTAGCATTACACTGACCGTGGAGAGAATGAGAAAAGATGTGGGTATTACCACAACAGATATTGCTTGTGCATCTGACTCCGAGGGCTTGCAGGGTCTTTGGCTGGGACTGACGCCTTGGGTAAGGGTTTACAGTTCAGGTCCTCTTGGGTTACTGCAGCTGGGGTCTGTTAGCTCGTTCCTTGTGAGCTATGACAAGGAAGACGCCGGGCAGGCTGTGATCTGTACATGGTGGTATTGGAAGGACCCCTAGGGGCAGCTTGGAATACAGCAGAAAACTGGATAAACAGCTGCTGAGAACTGTATGCCCACTTCCTAACACTCCGTTAAGTCAAAATCAGCAGTCAGCTGTGCCTGCAAGGAAGGGACAAGGCTGGCACTTGCTCTGTACTGTGCAGTGTCTGGCTTCTCCCAGTATCAATACTAATTTTTTCTGTCTGGGAAAGAAGATAGTGGAAATCAGCATGCAGGGCTGGGCTGAATTCAGTGCTCATGGCTCTGCTTTTATCAGAGCTGCTGCCTTGGCAAGGAGTGCCACTGAGCGGCACCAGATTCTGTTTGCCTTTCAGCTTTCCTTTCCTCACAAGACACTGTTGTTGATGTCCAGTGACCAACAAGATATTGATGACTGGTATCAGAGTCTTGCAGCTGCAGTCAGGTAGGCCTCTGTCTTCCAAAGGTGAAAGGGGCTGAGGGAAGGGGGTGGAACATAAAAAGGGTCATATGGACCTGTGTATTTTCATGTATTACATGGTTATGAGGCTGATAGAGAAGACCTGACTCTGGCAGCTAGGATACAAGGGAATACTGGGAACAGATTTCATGTATGAACAGTGAACTTTTTCTTTGTTCTTCTTCTACAGACAGCTGAGAGCCTGACCCACCTAAGTAGAAGACAGATTGGGCAGGACGGTCGCTTCTCTTGGTGGAGTCCTACATGATCTTAGGAAATGTTCAAGGACATACTGTAAGAGAATGCATTTATAGGGTCTACCACTATGCTCGTGAGACTGAATGGATGCTTTGTCAGCTGTCCTCATCTTAACGTAGACACTGCAAAAAATAGGTATGCAGACTAAGGATTTGTATATAAAAAATGTGTATTGACACTTTTCTCCAACTTAGCTTACAAGCTTCTAGCTTTTCTATGCTTTTTTTTTTTTCCCTTTATAGTAATAATTTAAGGACAAGTGGGAGAAAGCCTGACTTGCTTTCCCTCATTAAATGTTTTTATCCAACTGTCTTTCTAAATCAGTGTTTTCACATTTATTTGCCTACATATATTTCTACCTGCTCTTGCTACTGGCTCCTTTGATCAAAAGGGATGTTTTGGATAATTGTAACATGAGCTTAACATTGTATTTTCAGCTAGTGCTAGAGGGCCACAGCCATCTTCCTCCCTTGACATATTTTGATCATTCACACCCTTGAGTTTTCTACTGAAACAGTTTGACAGTTATTGTCTCTCCTCCTCTAAGAAAGTGACAGGCAGATCAAGGGAAGATTATTCAGTGGTTAAATCCTACCTCTCAGATTCTCATCAGTCCCACAGAAAGGTTAATCTGCTGAACTATCTGAAATAAACTGGTAGATAACGTAGACACAGGTTTATCAAAAAGCATTCACATTTCTGATCTGAATCCTAAGAAATTATGCAGATGAAACAGCACTTGCCTTTGCCTTTCCTGGTATGCAGCAGCCTTGAAATGCTAAAATGAAAAGCTTGGGTAGCACCTCTGCTTCTGAAGCATGTGGAAAATCTCCAGAGGGCTACAGTCAGGACCCTGGGTCATTAATAGCTGGTAATGTGCTAGGTAGGGTTCAGTTTATGAGGATGAAAAACCCATTTAAGGCAGAAACATACGTGAAGTATTCTTGAGTATTTTCTTAAAGCCTCTACACAGAATTGGGGTTGGTGCTGGGACCTGTGTTGTTCAACATCTTTGTCGGTGACATGGACAGTGGGATTGATGCGCCCTCAGCAAGTTTGCCAATGACACCAAGCTGTGTGGCTTGGTTGATACACTGGAGGGAAGGGATGCATCCAGAGGGACCTGGACACGCTTGTGAGGTGGGCTGATGCCAGCCTCATGAAGTTTAACCAAGACAAGTGCAAGGTCCTACACCTGGGTCAGGGCAAGCCCAGGCACAACTACAGGCTGGGTGGACACTCTATTGAGAACAGCCCTGAGGAGAATGACTTGGGATTGCTGACTTATGAAAAGCTCAACATGAACTGTGTCCTTGGCTCCATCAAAAGCAGTGTGACCAGCAGGTCGAGGTAGATGATTCTGGCCCCCTACTCTGCTCTTGTGAGACCCCACCTGCAGTACTGTGTCCAGCTCTGGGGTCCCCCATGTGAGAGGGGTGTGGAGCTGTTCAAAGGGCTGGACCACCTCTCCAGTGAAAACAGGCTGTGAGAGTTGGGCTTGTTCAGTCTGGAGAAGGCTCTAACCAGCCTTCCAGGACCTAAATGGGGGTTACAAAAAATCTGGAGGGACTTTTTACAGGGGCATGTAGTGACAGGACAAGGGGCGATGGCTTTAAACTGCCAGGGGAGAGATTTTAAGTATGAGAACAAAATTCTTCCCTGTGAGTGTAGTGAGGGCGCTGGCACAGGCTGCCCAGAGAAGCTGTGGCTGCCCCATCCCTGGCCGGGTTTCAGGGGGCTTGGAACAACGTGGTCTAGTGGAAGGGGTCCCTGCCTGTGGCAGGGGGTTGGAACTGGGTGAGCTTTAAGGGCCCTTCCAACCCAAACCATCCAATGACTTCTAATAAAGTGGAAGCCCTGCAGCTGTAGAAATTTGGCTCATCTTTTCTACTGAGGCAGAGAACATCTACTTGAACAATTGCAGGGTGGGCAACTTCAAGGTAATTAGAAACGTAAAGATTAAGGTTTGCCAGAGCAGTCACTTCTAGTAGTTTTGACTGTCTTTTTCTGCTGTCTTAAATGGTACCACACACCTATTAATTTCTCACTGGAATTCATTAAAATAGAAATGGTACTGTGTAAAACAAGTGTCCTGTGGTTTTTGTTTTTCCATACAGCTACCTCACTACACAGGATCACTCATTTGTCTTAAGTTGTGAAACTCAAGAAGGAGGAAGGAACCCAGCGTGTTTGGTAGTGTTGGATTTTGTGTGTTTGGGCGTTTTTGTGTGTAGTTTCTTGGAGGCTTTTTTTAAAAAACTAAGTTTCTAACCCATGTGCACAGGAATATAATCCAAATAGAAGCAAACTCACTTTCTGAACAGAGTTTATTTACACAGAGTGTATCAACCATTCGGGCTCCCAGCTTGACATCCTTCTCTTGCCAACACTCTATTCAAACCACAGGAAGAAGCAAGTAAACCCTGACCTTGTGCAACTCAAGGTTGATGATCAACCTTCAGGACATTCTCCCTCCCTGCACTCCAGGATGGCAACAAGCTGCCTGGTGCACGGGCGGCTGATGCCAAACCCCGTCCCTGTCCACGCAGGGGCAGAGCGCGCTGCCTACACCGGGGTGCCCTCGGGGGCCTGTGGGGCTGCCGCCTGCTGCATGTCCTCCCTGTAGCCCTTCAGGAGCTGGTTGAGCAGCGTCTTCTCGCTGTCGCGGCGCGGGCGGATGAGCGGTGGGTAGGGGTTCCCCTTGAGCTCGATGACTGCCATTTTGGCACGGTCAAGGCCATCCCGGTTGGGGATCTGCAGCAGGCGGGTGTAGTTGCCGGGGTGGGGCTGGAACCGGGGCGCCAGCACCTTGAACAGCTTGTGGATGAGGTCCTTCTCCTGCGGGGCGGCACGCTCAGCTCCAGCACCGCATGGAAGGGGGGTGAGGAGGGATGCGGGGAGGAACGGGAGAGGTATTTACCGTCAGCCAGAAGTCTGCCATGCGCATGGCGCGCTCGTTAGTGTCCCCCAGCTTGGCGTACTCGATGAGCTGCGAGAGGAAGGCGGCAGCGCCGTTAGGGCCCCCG